GGTTCAAACAGTCAGTTTTAAAGAAACTGACCTGAAGTTTGGTAGTAGCTGAGAGTCATACTCTGACCATGGATTGTGCTAAAAGTATGTTTTTAAAACTGTCTGTTAGTAAAATATCTCATAAAGCTCTGGACTGAAACTGGTTATAAACTTGTAACTGATGAACTTTTTTAGAGTCTCAGATTCAAGATGGCCGCTGACCTCAGGAAGCACAGAAATGTCTGAAACTCTTCTGATTTACAGATTTGAAGACAGGAATTCGTAGAGCATCAGCACACTACACAAAGTTCTGCTGGTATCAACTCTGTTAGCAAAATAACCCACTGGATGGATTTCAGTGGATCTCTCAAACTGACTTTTATTTTGAAATTAAGTCTGTGTTTTTGTGAAACTGCTCCTTGTGTTCATCAGCCTTCTCTAGTTCCTGAAATTTACAACTGATGAACTTGGAGCACAAAAACAGCTGTAACTCATTTTTACAAATGTGGAGCTTCATGTTGAGGTGGTGACAGCTACAGTTACACATCTCACAATTATTACACAACATGGTCAGGTTTCTGTTATTTCTCAACAAGGCAGATTTTAATCCCAATCTCTGAAGTTGGGCTGGTCTGTATTTAACAGTTTGTGTTTTTGTTGCAGGTTAAACTGAGATCAAAGTAAAAACAATGCTCTGATGATTACATTAACTTTGAATTCATTTGATTTAACTSGTAATGAAACTGTTCTTTTGCTGTGGTCGTGGGTTTTACTGGAGTTGTTTTTTTTCAGTGAGTGTTGTTCTCAGTTTGACCACTGGGTGGCGCTGTTCCATCATGTTTCCTGTTGTGAGGCCTCAGCTCTGACCAGCTGCACAGTGATTGGTTGATCATTTTGTTATCAGATGTAACGGCTGTGAGGTCCAGGCTGCTGTTGGGGTGTCTGCGGGTCAGAACCAGCTGTTTGGACCTGGGTTTGCCTCCTCCCTGTTCCTGGGTTTAATGTTCCACTGAACTCTGTTCCTGATGTCTTTAATCCAGCAGATTCTTTGCTTTAATCCCACAACAGTTCAGGTTTTCTTATTCCAGCATAGTTTAAAGAGATAAATCAGAGTTTGTTTTGACAGGATTGATGAACTAACGATGATCAGACAGGATGAATGCAGTTCAATAACCAGCAYAAATAAAGTAAAAATGACCCGGGCACTGGTCATCCTGGGCTCAGACTCTGGTTGAACTGGAGCAGGTTCTGATGTTAAACCGGACCTCTTCTCTCCTCAGTCCCAGTGGCCACAGCGAGGCGGTCGGCACCAGGAGGAAGCTGTACAGCGCTGTTCCAGGAAGGCATTTTGTGGTGGTCCGACCTTACACCGTCCAGGCTGAGGGAGAGATCAACCTGTACAAAGGAGACCGGGTCAAAGGTCAGTCTGAGGACGTTTTTCTTTAAACGAGACGTTAACGTTGCTTCAGTCGAGTGTTTTAATGAAAACTGTTTAACCACATTTAGACGCTGCCACAGCTCAGCCAATAAAACCACCTTTTAATTCATTAGTGTGGTAGTAGCTGAGAGTTGTTCTCAACACGTACGTCATCCTGYATTCAGGCATTAGATCCTGACAAACATCTCCATGTTCGACCAGAACAGCCTGTTGTGTTCGTTTGTTTAAAGTTTAAACCTTCATTCAGCTGTTTCAGCTTTCATCCTTTTTTCTGTCTTCAAATGATTTAAACTCAAACATAAACTGTGCTGAATAAAATATAAAAAATGATTTATTATTTATTCTCAAATATAAAGTGTGGCTGTCAATGAATCACAACACACATGATGTGTGTTAGGGTGCTTTTCCACTGACGTTCCAGTCCGGTTCCAGTGGGTGTGTTTTGGGCGGTTGGTGGAGGTGGTTTTTAGGTGTTTTGAAAAAAGCTAAAGGGCTAAATGAGAGATGGAAACATGTTTGATGAATAACTTTTGAAATTTAAAAAATTCAGAAAAGTTTTGAATAAAAATTGGATGAAATCACGACTAATGTCACTGCTGCAATTAAAAAAATGGCTCCTTGAGTTGTTGTTGTAAAGGCAGCTTAGACACAACCAGTGACTCCACCCCCTGACCAACCAGTGACTCCACCCCCTGACCAACCAGTGACTC